TGTTCAGAAGCACGTGCTTAATCATTTACTCATCTACTCAAAATTAATAAAAAGATGTCAACTCATCCACCACATAAGATTTTGTCAAGTGTAATAGACGTCAAGAATGAAAAATATGGACAAAAAAGTTTTTAAAGACAAATATTTGAATAAAAATATTAGAAGAACTACAATTAGATTATGACTTATTTTTAATGACTAAAAACATATTTAATCCTTAAATTATAATATGAAATTAAACTTGTAGGTTCACAATTTTTAGTAAAGTAAATATTCATTACAGGCTTAATACGATATGTTAAGAATTGTGGTTGGGCCTAACTCAACCCTACAAAATCGGTTACACGCTCAGGATTGGACAACTGGATTTTAAACGAAGCTCTGATACTATGTTAAGAGTTGTGGTTGGGCCTAACTCAACCCTACAAAACCGGTTGGTAGAGTGAGGATTGCTCCCATTTATAAACACATGTTCATGCCATATATTGTCCGATGTGGGACTCTTAACACGATACAATAGGATCAATATTGAAGATTGATAGGACACAATAACATAAGAAAATGAACGTGACAAGCCGAGTATCTCCAACGTTTGGTTTCTTATATAGTTTTCCAAGTGGCAATGCGGTGCGGTATTATTTGTTTTTGTTGGTGATGACATTATTTGTTTTCGTTGGTGATCACCAGCATGACAAACCTTGCTTCATTGTGCGTGCAACCATAGGCATTGAATATAAAAAATAAAATATAGAAAAAATAAAAATACACGATAAAAGCACATAATAAAAGTATTATAAATTGAAATAAAATTAATATAAATTTTTTAGAATTATACTATTGAAATGAATAATTAAACTATTAAAGATGCTCGTGGTTGAAAAAGAAAAAAAAACTATGATTAAGTGAAAAAAATTTAAAAGTTTTTTGTGGTTGTAGTAGATAAATTTGGTGTTGATTTTCTTTTTAAGTAATGAGAGGATTAAGTATTATTGATCTCAGTGCCGCTTTCTTGTATCACTAATTTCGTCTCACCCTCAAATTCAGTTGGAGTTAATAATTGATCATTCATTCTCAATTTTCTCTGCCGCACATCTATTATTCATATACAAAAATTATAATTTTTTAAAAATAAAATAAACTTTTTCATAATAACAAAAATCAATAATTAAACAAAATATTTGATCATTTTAATAATAATTATAATACTTGATCAATTTTATTTTATATCTATATTTTAGAAAAATAAATACTAAATTTTAATAAATTTGGTATCTTAATATAGAGTAAGAAGGGTAAAAAATTAAAGTTATAGAAACTTAGAGTAATAAAGAAAATTTTATAGGCAGGGAAGTAGGAGTGGGTAGGGGACTGATATTAGCATTCAACACTCCACCCCCAAATTTAAAAGCTGAGTTTTCTTTGCACCAGCACATTGATTTCTCTAAAAAGAATGAAATTATCCTTTAAATTCTTCTCTTTCTATCTCTAGCCATCTTTGCCTCCGACTCTTTTAATTTTAATAAAAATTATCCATAAATTTAGGTTTATCTCATAAACTTATACTTAGGTTAAATTTCTCAAATTATGAACATGACCCAACTTATAATATTTCTTATTCCTTTCTCCCACAAATTCTTATAGATTTTCATATTTGGCCCAATCACTCTTTTTTTTTACTAAATAATAACAAAACTATTATTTTACTTAATAAAAATAAGTCTAAATTATTCTATACATTCATTACTATTTTATCATACCCTTAATTTAAAGACTCACATTTTTATAAACATTTCAAAAAATAAATAAATGGTCGAATAGATATAATTAATATAAAATACGATAAAATATCTTATATGAAAAACATAGCATTACAAATATGGAACGAGCATCCAATAACATGACATAAATTGCTCGAACCAAATGAGCACTTAGGGCGCCTCGTGTTGAGCTTGGGCTTAGTTGCCCAAACTAAACCTTGTTTTCTTCTAATTTCACTAATGAAGTACATGACACGCTACATAAGTTGCTCGAACCAAATGAGCACTTAGGGCACTCCGTGTTGGGCCTGGGCCTAGTTGCCCAAACTAAGCCTTGTTTTCTTTTAATTTCACAAATTAATACATGACACACTGCTCCTCTCAAAGTTTTCATTTGAAGTCTATCGGATACGATCAATTTTTGTGTGAATCAATTTATATAAAATTTTACCTTTAAATGTGACTTCCAGTGGCCGGTAAAATTGGTCCTCTTGAATTAGTCCGTTTTAAACCGAATACCAAAATTTAGAAAGAAATCAAAGAATACATGTTCTTCTTAGTCTCAGTCAATGTCCAAGGGAATTTTCTATATAATGCAAAAATAATAGAAGAATTATAACTAAAGTGAAATAGAATAATTATCTGTAATTAGAACTGTTCTGGACTGGGCCGAGGCTTAGCCCACAATCGAGAAGGCCCAAAATCCCACTAAGGTTGGGCCCAATTGGACCACACTGATGAGCAGGGACCCATGGGCAGGTGCCCATCCCGTGGGCAGAACCTGTGCCCATCCTGACGGGCAGAACCTGTGCCCATCCCGTCAGGGCAGAACCTCCTCCCGTCAGGCAGGTGCCCATCCTGACGAGCAGAACCTGTGCCCATCCTGACGAGCAGAACATGTGCCCATCCCGTCAGGGCAGAACCTCCTCCCGTCAGGCAGGTGCCCATCCTGACGAGCAGAACCTGTGCCCATCCTGACGAGCAGAACCTGTGCCCATCCTGTCGGGCAGAACCTGTGCCCATCCCGTCAGGGCAGAACCTCCTCCCGTCAGGCAGGTGCCCATCCTGACGAGCAGAACCTGTGCCCATCCTGACGAGCAGAACCTGTGCCCAGCCCGTCAGGGCAGAACCTCCTCCCGTCAGGCAGGTGCCCATCCTGACGAGCAGAACCTGTGCCCATCCTGTCAGGCAGAACCTGTGCCCATCCCGTCAGGGCAGAACCTCCTCCCGTCAGGCAGGTGCCCATCCTGACGAGCAGAACCTGTGCCCATCCTGACGAGCAGAACCTGTGCCCAGCCCGTCAGGGCAGAACCTCCTCCCGTCAGGCAGGTGCCCATCCTGACGAGCAGAACCTGTGCCCATCCTGACGAGCAGAACCTGTGCCCAGCCCGTCAGGGCAGAACCTCCTCCCGTCAGGCAGGTGCCCATCCTGACGAGCAGAACCTGTGCCCATCCTGTCAGGCAGAACCTGTGCCCATCCCGTCAGGGCAGAACCTCCTCCCGTCAGGCAGGTGCCCATCCTGACGGGCAGAACCTGTGCCCATCCTGTCGGGCAGAACCTGTGCCCATCCCGTCAGGGCAGAACCTCCCCTCCGCGGGGAGAATAACGTGCTCGGCGCACGTTCTCCACGTGCTCCCCTCCGCGGGGACACGTCACCGGCCAACTGCCCACCTCCGAAAGAGCAGGTCAAACCCACTCTCCGGAGATCTAGGAGCGGTTGAACTAGGGCGAAGACCACGTCCTGGTCTTCACTACGCCACGTAAGCCCTAGCAGTCATTAGGGTTGGGCCTGGTCATCCAGCCCACCTCGAATGACCGTTGGCCCAGCGCTGGGGTCTCTCTATAAATACCCTCTTCCCCAAGAGGGCCAGGTAATTCACCTCTTCTAACTTTCTGTTCTTGCTCTCACTCTGCCCAAATTCTGACTTTGGCATCGGAGTGCCTTGCAGGTACACCCCCTCCTCATCCTCCCCACCGGTGAACAGATAACCGTCCGGCGAAGCGTGGCCAGTCCGTGATCCCTCCTGATCAGGTCAGATCAGTGGCGCCGTCTGTGGGAAGCGTGGCCAGTCCGTGATCCCTCCTGATCAGGTCAGATCAAGAACAAAAGAAAATGATTGTGAAAGAAAATGAGAAAAATAAAAAGATGATGGTGTGAAAGAAGATGAGGTTGAAAATAAGAAGATGAAAAAGAGAAAGAGAGATTGAAATGGGAATGATAGAGAAGACAAGCCAGAGTAAAAAATCAATTGTACTTGATTTGTTGGGTCAATCACCCTAGTTGTATATACACCCGTTTAGGGATCATGAAATTCCACGTGCATCCCCGTCCCTAGTGACACAAACTTCTTACAAATAAGAAATTAAAAATCAAAATTTTAAAAATACGAGGGGATGCTTTAGCAATTTGTAACAAATATAAGACCAAAAAAATAAAAGCGAAATAAAACATCTTTTGGCACATCTCGTTATTCGCCGGTTTCTCGCGGAATTTATCGCATCAATTCTCACCCACACCACACCCTTTGATTCCCCGATCCACTCTACACCTTCTTCCATTCAATTCCTTCTTTTATTTTCTTCCCTTTTTCTCCCAATTCAACTCTTTTCTATTCCCAGGTCACTGCATCCATTTTTTTCTTCTTTATTTCCTAAAAATATCTCTAAATTTGCAAATATCAACAAAAAATTGCGCAATGCAATAAACCCTGGATAATTCCATTTTGCAGTTAGTATTATGAATTATGGTTGATCCTCCAAAATCTAGAATCGTTCTTTTTAATCGCAAATCAATAATCAATTTATGTGTATATACTGAGGGTTCGGTTTTGTAACAAAGCCTGATCTAATTGTATTGCATAGTTTTTTCCCTGATTTGATGCTTTCTCACAATGTTATTACCTATTTCTTCAGATAATTGATATGAATTGTTGTTGCTGGAGATTCCTGAATTGATCTCTTATGCAATTGAAGTTTATTTGGCTATTCAGGTCAATATTTGGTAATCATGACCAACATTTTTTCCTCTTTCTATTTTAGTTTATTTACCTATTGTGTATAATTATTGAGGATGAAATGTGTATGTTATATAACCTTTGTTAATATTATTATTTTTATTATGATGTTTGTAGGTTAATAGTAGTTTTGATTTTTAATTTTCGCGGATGGGTTCATTCCACTTCGAAGCTTTTCTTTAGATTAGAGAGAAAACTATACTGTCATAAGGTTGTGGAGTTCTTTTAATGGGTGCTCCTAAGCAAAAATGGACTGCAGAAGAAGAGGCAGCTCTGAAAGCCGGAGTAGTAAAATACGGAGCAGGAAAATGGCGAACCATACTTACAGACCCGGATTTCAGCACCATTTTGCGAATGCGTTCTAATGTAGATCTCAAGGTAAGTCTTTTCAATGTTCTAGAAGGTTATGGGAAGGGCTATAAAGTAAGATTCATTCCAGATGTTACCGCTACTGCACGTGTTAAATGATCAACTGTTTAATGTGTCATAGACCAGTTTGTTTCTATATAACTGTATATGCTTTAAGCTGTGAACAGGATAAATGGAGGAACATAAATGTGACAGCAATATGGGGATCCAGGCAGAAGGCAAAACTTGCGCTTAAAAAGAACCTACCTCCTCCCAAATCTGAAAATAATCACGCAACCTCGAATGCCATAGTTCCGTATAATCAAGAAGTTGCTGCTGCTAAGCCTCTAACAGTTTCTGGCGGAACATCTACTTCCAAAGAACAAATACCAAGGTTTATACCACTCCAAGCTAAATATGTCTCACTTGTCACTGAAACTAAATGGTCTGTGATTGTTGGTTGGTATAATGTTGTTCTTGAATAGCAAATGAACAAACATCGTATAATCATTGATATTACTTCCTTTGATGGTTATTAGCTCTAAGGTTGCCTTAAGCAGCGTGCTACTATACCAAAATTTTAAATGAATTAGTTATTTAAGCAGATTGCAAGCAATTTTTGCTATAAATATGTGTACCATGAGGTTTATTGTTTTCTGATTCTTCATTAGCTATTTAATTTCATGATGAATCTTTTCCAAGCATGGCAAATAATACCCTAAAATGATTCAAATACGTCCATATGATTGATTATATAGGTTCCAATTACAACTACAAAATATTTGATATATAGTTATCTTCTGTTGGCATTTTTGGTGACAATTATGTGGCGATGTTTTCCAATGACAGCAGCATAACTCTTTTTAATAATGGCAGATTGGACAGCCTTATATTAGAGGCTATTGTCAAGTTGAAGGAGCCAAAGGGTTCTGATATTTCCGCCATTGCTGCTTTTATAGAGGTATATCTATCTACTTTAATTACCTCACGCTCTCACTGGTATTTAGAACGTAAACATTCAAGCTAACGTATAAATCAAAACTATTTCCTCACTCTGTGATCAGTTGCGTGCACCATAACACACTAAGATATCCTAATATAAATAATGTCTGATGACAGACCATTTAATTCCAAATCCTTCATAATCCAAATGTTGGTGCCTCTAAACTTCAATACTGGAAAACATATGTAATTTATGCTTTTGTAGACTCTTCCTTTTCAAGTTAATTTCTCACGTATGTTTAGAATCATGCGGCAAATTATTTTAATATATTCATCTTTCATCAAATAATTTTTATTTTTATATATTAATCTTGTATTGATTGATGGATTGAATATTTGTTACAAAATATCTGTACGAGTCAGCCTACTTTGTGATCAAGTTTAGAACAAAAAAATATTTAAACTGTTTCGAAAGGTTTCTCTTCCAAGTCCATTGATTTATATGTTTATCAATTATCAGCAGTTTCAACTAGCTCTGATATGTAACTCTTCGACTTCCTTTCTCAGGGTGCCAAAATATCATAGTGTTTTTTTTCATTTGATCGTTATATTTGTCAAATCTAAACAGGTTCCCTGAGTTTCTCACCTAGGGCAAGAACACTCTTAATTTTTTTCTTTCCTATGGTTAAGAAAGGCTTAGCATAACTCAACCAATCATGATATACTATCTATTGTTTGTCTTTTTAAATATACCAGCAAATGTCATTTTCTTTTTGTGCTTCTCTGTATCATTGTGTCGATAGTAATTCTATTTTTTTTACCTCAATAGGATCAATACCGGTCTCCACCAAACCTCATAAAGTTACTTTCATCAAAACTGAAGCATATGGTGGCAAGTGGTAAATTAGTGAAGGTAATATACTCTTTGTTAATGAAGGTTGGCTTCTTGGAACGTTGTTCCCATGAAGCAATACATTTTCCTGTAAACCTGTGTAGTGAAGGGAGTGTTGTCAAATTGGATAGTATTATATTTGGTCAATTGATCCTGAGTTGGCATTCCTAATGACAGGTAAATCAGAAATACAGGATTGCAACAAATTCTTCAAAAATATCTGAGAAAAAAAGATGCTCTTCGATGTTGCTCCTGGAAGGAAGGCCAAAAGATTCTCCAAAAGCAGAGAAGGCTGATGCCAACGTCCTCTCAAAATCCCAAATCGATGTCGAGCTTTTAAAAATGAAAGGTGTGACAGCTCAAGAGGTGGCAGCAGCAGCTGCAAAAGCAGTTGTAGAGGCAGAAGCTGCAATTGCTGAGGCTGAGACAGCAGCACGAGAGGCAGAGGCTGCAGAAGCCGAAGCAGAGGCTGCTCGAGTGTTTGCAAAAGCAGCACTGAAGGCACTAAAATGCAGAAGACTTAATATTTGGTAAGCTTCCTTACCAAGAAAGAAACATTAATTAATGCCTAAATAACTGTGGCGCTTATAACTTCCTTTTATCCCATTTTGAATGCTTTCTCCTAGTCGTTACTTTTCCAAAAAATTTTAAAGCTCTAGGAATCATGTATTCCATGTCTGTTACAATGTTTAAAAGACTATTTTAGAGCATAAAAACTTTCCAAGAAAAAAAAACTTTTGCATCCCTGCGGTTTTAATTCTCTGTTGAGGGGATGGGAAATCATACTCCCATGCAAAGGTTCTCCTAGTCTTCAAAATTTAATTTAAATATCCTAGAAACAAACTCCTCTTAGGATTTACAGGTTGGCTTGTTTACGGTTTGGTTTATAGGAGAAAACTGAACCAAATTAAACTAAACCATAAAAGTCGTTCAAGAAAACTGAACCGAACTGCAATCACTTCACCTGAACCAAACCAAACTGGTTCATGGTTCGGTGCACTATGGTTTCAGTACCAAACCAATATGGTTAATTTACTGATTCAAAAAATTGTATATGTTCAAATCCAAACACTAAATGCAAATTGATACTATTAGCCTTCGATCCACTTCATTTTCCATCCATTGTTTAAATTCACCGTTAGAAGAAAGAAGGCTAGTTACGCATAAGATTTTCAATCTTGTTCTAAACGCACGCCATTTTCCATCGGCAACATTGAATTGAAACTAAGTTGCAAGCAAGCAACACTTGCGCCCTTCAGTATCTAGTGTCAGGCAGCCATCACACAATGATTGCAGATTGCGATTGCAATTGAAAAGGAAATTCCATGGAAAAGTGAATTTCCTTAAATCCACTTAAACAACATCACCATGTGGTAATAACAGGAGATATGAATCATCACCCATAAAGTTTCAGTTCAATTATTTAGTTTAACTCTTTCATTGTGGGTTCATGGAATAACAGCGAGGGGTTCACAGTTCACAGTTTGCTTCAGTTCTCATCGAACTGTAATTTATTATAATAGTTCAGTTTTTTAAAAGTTAATTCAGTTCAGTTTGGTTCTACAGTTATTTTAACAGTTCTACCAACAGATCCTGAATAATGTGCGGCAAAATCTCAGTTAAATGTCTCTCCTACCCTCTGTACAAAAACAAATTGTCTCTCCACTCTTATAACTTGAGTTTTTATTAATAAAAAATGACTATCTCCTTCGCCACATTTTCTGTCAGCCAAAACCCGGTCTCTTGTGAAAATATCATATTTTTCGATAGTCGGTCAAAGGTTTTTTAGCGTAGCATTATTCTGATTCCTCCATTGAATTAGTTTGTATCAGTTCTTTCAGCTAACAGTTTTATATTTGCAACTTTGTGCAGATGGTGTTTGCTTCTTCGTGGGTGACATGAGCAATGTAGCATTATATTGGCTTTAGATCATAATTCTGCTGCTAGGGGCTGCCTGCATGTATTTAATTACTGTGCATAGTTTAGGCTTGTAAATTTGGAATGTGTTGGACTGATTCATGAAGCATTTTTGTCAGGAATAGTTTATTTTTTATTAATTTTTGTAATTTTATTTTTTAATGAAAGACAGACAATGAGGGTACATGATAAGTGTTTGGTTATGCATGAAAAAAATTGATTTTGAATGAAATTCTTTAAAATTAAAATTACTTCCGATGACGTTTCATCCCTTCAAAATAGCTCAGCTTCTAAGGTGAAGGGTGTTATTTTAACCATGGTATGTATAGGCGACTCAAATCGATAAGGGCTATGATATCATTAAAGTTTAATCTAACTCATTTCTAAAAAAACCGTCATGTAAAATATGATGTGTCATTTTATATAAACTTTTTGTGAGTTTTATTGTACATGTCTAAAATTAATTTTATCTTCACTCTAAAAACAGCACATTTAACTTCTAATAGTGCAGAGACATTCAATTTAAATTAATAACTTAGGATGTCGTAAGATAAAAAAAAAAAATTAAACATTTAAAAATAAGAATTTTCTCTATCAAATAAAGACAATTGTTAATTAAATTAAAATTTATACTTTGTCTATAAAAAAAAACATATTTTTGCAATATATATATATATATATATATATATATATATATATATATATATATATATATATATATATATATATATATATATATATATATATATATATATATATATATATATATATATATATATATATATATATATATATATATATATATATATATATATATATATATATATATATATATATATATATATATATATATATATATATATATATATATATATATATATATATATATATATATATATATATATATATATATATATATATATATATATATATATATATATATATATATTGCATCAACTATAGAAAAACTTCAGGTATTTTGCATTACATAATAGGAATTCAAGATAATTTTACATATATAGTCACCAACAATAGGAATGTCATGCAATTTTGTCACTTGCAATGTATAGGATATATTGAAATATACAGCATGGGAATGGGAAATGTCCCAAAAGTTGCCATTCAATTTACTTATTATTTAGTGTCAATTAAAGTTAAATTTAGTATTAAGACTATGGTTCATGTGGACTATGCAAAATAACAACCTAATATATTATATCAATTACTGCTGAAAATAAACCCTGTCTCAAACCTACATGTTTTGTGTATTCAACCATAAACACTTAGGAAGGAATCTTTATAATGATACACTGTAATATATATATATATATATATATATATATATATATATATATATATATATATATATATATATGGTGTTGGACAATTGCCGCAACACCTTCATTTAATGATATGTATAACAAATAAAATGGAACGCACATTCAAATTAAATATCTGAACTCTATGAGTGGAGCTGGTACAAGAACAACAACTATAGCCTAGAAGTATTGAAACATCAAGTGAGTCGTAAAGACTTTCCTCCAAAGATATAAAATGAAGGTTGATGACTCTCCTTCAAAACTCTCTAGTTCGGCATTCTCAGCAGCCTCACCTTTTAGAGGTGGTACTAAATCAGCAGCATCATCAGTGGGAGCTAGGTGTAGAATAGTACAATCATCTGTAGGAGGTGGTATTGGTGAATCATAACGCTCGAGGGAGGATCGTGGAAGTAACGCGTCAGATGGTGAATTTTGTCTCTTACAGGAAGAAGAAGAAAATAGAGTGGCCTGAGGTGAAGCACGAGCCTCAGAAGTAGATGTCGCCCTAGAAGTAGACATGTCTGCCTGACCAGATGTACCTAGAGCCTCTAGAACCTGCTGGCTCCGCTCGCGCTGAACGAATGCGTGCTGAGCAACTATGACATGTCTCATTCTTTCAACTCTGTCAGCTATTATGCTTGTAAGGTAAAGTAAGACATATCATTAGTGCGTGCAAACAACACACGCAAGTAAGAAAATTTAAATAAATAAATAAACATACTGTAGGAAATTCTGGAGATGCATCTCCAGAACACCATTGAACTAAAACGTTGAACAATTCCGGAGATGCATATTTGGAAGCACCATTAAACTAAAACGTTGAACAATTCTAGAGATGCATTTTTGGAATGTTCTACAACACAGAGGTCGTGTCAATGGTGAATGTACCTCATGCAAGTTGAAGAAAATATTTTCTGATAGACATTTTCAGCCAACAAATAAGTTATACATTATACCTAAATGATGTTACATGTGATTTCTACACATTTCTAACCCTAATCATTGATTCCTACTCGTTTACACTAAAAATCTAACATTTACCAAAAACTTGAAAAACTTGAAATTGATAATTCAGGTGTTGTTTCCAATATTAGAGATGATCTTTGATGTTCCTTTAAGTTCCCCTGGCCTCCGTTTGATGAAATTTGATTTGGTGTAGAGGATTATATTGAGAAGAAGGTTGTGTTGAGTTTGAAGAAACTATGAAATGAGGAAGGAGAAGAGTCTGACGCGACTTATACTCCAAAATGTTTCAGAGATATATCTCCGAAATATTTCAACGTTCACTTACGTTTGGGTGCGTCTGAAGATATATTTCCAAAAATATGAGACTTTTATGGAATTTCACATAATGTGTTAGAATTATGGGTCAAAATTCAAGAATAAATTAGTCTTAAAATAACTTAGTTCCCTAAAAGTTCAAAAATTAAATTTGAGACCAAAGAGTTCCAATTTTTCTCTCCAATTTTTAAAAAAAAAATATCTTCATAGAAAAAAAGTTTACAAAATTATTTTCTTAGATATGAGGAAAATAAAATAAAATTTTAAAAAATAGTTTTTACAAAAAAAAAGTAATAATAAAAGATTTTTTTCATTTTCAAAAAACAAAATTGTTTTTTAAACATTTTCAAATAATTACTTTTTATATTTTAGCAAAATATTTAAAAAGTTAACAAAAGAAAAAAATACTTTTTTTTTAAAGAAATGGATCCTTGAGTCCCACTTATGCCCCCAAAAATTATGGGATTTGTGTTCACACCTTTTTGAAAATTCAAAATTGTTTTTTAGATTATTTTGAAAATGCATCTCCAAATGTGATCGCGACTTTCTATGTCTAATACAACCTAACTGCAAGTGCACAGTCTATCGCGTAGTAATAATAGATATCGATCCCACAGGGACTCGTAATCAAACTAGTGTTCTCGGGAGTTACTATGTTTAGCTAGGTAGAATATGTTTAAGGGAATAAGATTGTCACTAAAAGGGAACTAAGAATGCTACTTAGATTATAAATGATTGAATCGATATGCAGTAATTGTGTTCTTCAGGGATTTGACAAGTTACCGGTGTATGAAATAGTTTTCAGAGTTTATTTAAGCAGAAAATGGTGATTTAAAGACTCTCGCCTCACGATGGTTATTGACGCTAATCATAATTCTAAGGGTCAAACGTACACTTTCGTATCCCATTCGGGGTTAAAATTATTTTTTGGAAATCTCTAAGTTCTAATTCATTTTAAAGTGCTTTCGCTGTTATTAAAATGAATGACTAGTGTTTACTATCTGACCTTACCGCAGCTTTCGCTTGTTGGTTCGTATCTTAATTAATTTCCCACTTTCGTGGCAAAACTACTTTTAAATAAGTTCTCGCTTTCGCGACGAAGTTTATTCAGTAAATCAATTTTAAACACTCAGACCATAAATTACTTTTGAAAAGACAATTTTCAACCAGTTATTATCAAATCCCTTTTCGAATTATTACTACATATCGATTACCTAAGTTTAGCTAGACATGGATTTGGGAAAGATAAAACATAAATAAAAACAATAAATAATAATTTGCATTATAATAAAACTGGAATTACTATTGAAATGAGAAATCTGTAAATATTCCAATTGGCCTTTGGGCAGATCCTCCACAGATGTTGGCAGGATTCTGGTCTTTATGTCAATTTGATCGTACAATAAAAGTAGAAATTACAGAAGAATGAAAATGGAATACAGAGAAAGTAAAGAGAAACAAATAAGAATATTAAACTGGAAAGGTTTGCTCTGGAAATAAATTTGGCAGCACTTCGTTGTATGAATGCAGCTCCCCTTCTGAGGTCCCCTTCTTCCCCTTTTATAGAGATGGAATTCTAACGGTTACTGCTGGAGAGAGTGGACTTTGAGGCAGAAAAATCAGGGAGTAGTGGTCCACTATTTGGGACTTGGAACTGCTTCTTTAACGTGTAATTGAAGTGGAGCGTTTTTGCCTGCATGACAGTCGTCACAAGGTGTGACGGTCGTCACCCGTGTGACGGTCGTCATGGAGCTGTGACGGTCGTCACATCAGCAAAAACAGCCTTCTGCGCTTTTCATGATGTTTTCACTCCTTTTTCGTCCATATTTCATCTGAGATTGCTTCTTTTCTTCATGTTGCCTTGTTTAGACGTGATCGTTGAATACCTGCAAAACATCAGACAAATAACACGGAAATAACCCGAAATCGGATCGAAAACGGTTAAACTTTAGTTGAATTATTGTTGCACCCTAAAATTTGACCAACCGGGTCTCGTATTTGGCTCGATGTTTCGACGCATAATCGCATTCGCATCTGCATATTGCATACAGTGCATTTTTCATTTGTTTTGATTTTATTGGGATCACAGCTCTCGTCTCGTGTTTCAGGTGTTTTTTATCAGTTTAGATAGATAGAATCGTATTTTTGGGATATTTCGGTGCCCGTTTATTTTTACTGGCCATTTTGGTGCGCTCTCGCGGTGTATGTGTTGTTTGGTGCTTATTTTGTTTCTCTGGGAATTGTCGTGATTTTTCTGGATTTTATTGGCATTTTTTAGGGTTTAAATAGCTTTTAAATCGTTTTTAGGGTTAATAGGATTTTTTAATAGTTTTTAATTCTTTTTAAATAGATTTTT